CAGCTACTGCACATTTTATGACTTAGTCATTTAAAGTTGTATATTTCTATGAACATTACAGCAAAGTATGGAAGGTGTGAGTTTTTTTTTTCCTTCCCTTGGCCAGATTTGTACATTTATTTCCTTGGTGATATGAAATGAATTAGTTCCCTTATTGCTATTAAATATCCTGTTCAGTGCCATACTTATTGGGTATTAAGAATTTTATTTTTCTGAAAATCGTTTCTCATCTTCATTTCATTTTGGGAGAAGGAAAAGTGGGTAACACAATGTAAGTTTGTTCCCTGAGGAAAAAAATAAGGATCCTCAATTAAAAAAAAAAATAATGAGTTCCTTTTCATGGCTTCTTGGCCAATATTGGCACAAAGATGCGTTATTAATAAATGGTAGTTAGAGAGTGTCTGTAAGTGGTCGTGTGGTTTTCCCCCTTGGTTTCCCAAAAGCACCTGAGTTTCTTTTGCGGGTTCTATGGCACTTGGTCTTTAACCTGTTAAGGTGCTCTCACTGTGTTGTTGCGTGCAGGCCTGTCTCATCTCCGTGGGAGGGCATCACTTCTCCTCCTCCCTCTCTGCTTTGCTCAGTGCTTGGCCATGGAATTCAGAAGAGAGATGATAGTGGCTTGGATCGGGATGGTGGTAATAACAGTCGAGGTGCTAAGATGTGGGCTACGTTGAAAGTAAAGATAACACCATTTTCTAATTAATTAAATATGGTGTGTGAGAAAGAATGAGGAGTCCAGGGCGGTTCTAAGTTTTTACTTGGCCTGCGCATCTAATTAGAAAGATGGGTTGCCATTTTATAAGATGGGAAAGATGGAGAAAGAAGCAGCCTGTCAGGTGATGGAGGAGAAAATGATGGAGGAGAAAATGACAAGTTTGGTGTTGGATGTTGATAGACCATTTTTGTTTTACTAATTTGCTAGAAGGTATGAGTGCTCACTGGAGAGAGAAAGAGAGAAACTGAGAAAGCATTCCCCATGGTATGGCCACTCTATAATCCCTTCTCCTCCATTTCTTCTTTTGAGATTTTTGGCATAGGACATGTACCCAGCATGTTTTTCAAGCTGTTGGGTCTCAGACTCAAACTGTACAGTCAACCATGTGGGATCAGCTGTCTCCACCACCACACTGCTGGCTTGCCCTGATACCCTTTTAAACATTCAAGTATATATGCTGAGTAGTTGCATTTGTGAATATAGAGGTCAAAGGCTGGGTTTCATTTACTGTTCTGCATCCAATATGGTAGCCATTCACCACAGATGACTATTTTTTTATAGAATCATTTATTCAATTTCATTTATCATTATTATCTTTTTAATTTGACTCGAGAGATAGAAAGAGGTAAAGTGAGAAAGCAAGCCACCAGGTCCAGACTCAAACCATGGTTGACCATGTGGGAGTCCAGTGCTCTAACCACCGTACCACCTGCCAGCCCCATGACTATTTAAGTGTAAATTAAATGAAAAGTTTTATTCTCCAAACACATTAGCACATTTCAAATGCTCAGTAGCCACATGTGGCTTGTGGCTACCATATGGAACATGAGAGAATTATGGCAAGTTTTCATCATTGCAGACAGTTCTGTTGGAAAGTTCTCATGTAGAATTGTGAATTTGGAGTGGTAATTATGTAGGCTGTACTTACAATCCCAGGACCTCGTGGTTTTAAGGTGATGGGGTCAAGAGGTCAGATGTCACATTTAATAGATAGAGGATAAGGCAGATTGAGCAAGTAAGAGTAGGAATGAAGGTCAATGAAGTTGAAGTCGGGAAGGAATTAAAAAGGGACTAGACAGTGGAAAAGGTTAGGTGTGACACTCTGCAAGACTGACCCACGTGAGAAGTTTCTGGGTTGGCCTTGTGACCTCCCTGAGTAAGCCAGGCACAAATGGGCCCATGATCTGGGGCTAGCAGAAGCTGGGAGTGGATTGTGGCATCAGGAAATTACAAACAAAAATTCAGGTTCATATTTGAGAAAGTGCTTTAATATAAGGAGAACTTGAGTTTAAATATCAACAATTAAGATAAAGATATGAAGATAATCAAGAGTTACATTAATGATAATATATTAAAGATAGTATAGATAATCAAGGTGATCTTATAGTAAAGATCATCAAGATTATCTTCTGAACATGAACCTGCTCTCACAATTTTATTAGGTCGTTGGAAAAGTCCTGATGCATTTTTGTATAGAAAAACAGAAAAACTATGTCATGACTTTCCCCATGACACAATACTTCTATTATGAATAAAACTCTAAATTTTCTGTATTTACTTCAAAATAGCACATGAAAACATTAACAAGCCCTGTAGAAAGGCCAAATAAGGGAAGCATAAGATTTACTCCTGTTGTGTAAAATTTTGTGTTCAGTGAACACATGACTCCAAAGACTTGGTGTAGCAGCAAAAAAATATTTTTTCAGTTTTTGCCGTAGGGTTCGTGCACTTGTCAGAGACAGAGAGAGGGAAAGTGAGAAATCACCCTTCAGGGGGTATAGCCACACTGCAATCCCTTATCCATTCTCCTCTCAGGATTTGGGGCATGCATGCATACGTGCCCAGCGTGATTTCTCAAGCCACCAGCTCCGGGACTCGAATCACGGTTGGCCATGTAGGAGTCACCTTTACCACCATGTCACTTGCTGGCCCCAGTCACAAAATAGAGAAAGCAAAGATTATAGAGATTCTCAGAATTAAAAATACCTTTAGGACTTTGATTTTCATTGGTGATTAAGATAATGTGCCATTTGTCCATTTTAATGGTACTACGATTTTCTTTTAATTCCATTTTGGATGAGAATAGAGGAGACACAGATACACTGATTGATATTATGTTGTTTCTAGCTGTCACCAAAATTTCTTTTGTTGCACTACCCAGTGATGCCTGCATCATGGAATCTTAAGAGTTAGCCATAATCTTCCTGAAGACATTTAAGCTGATGGCAAAGTAGAAACCATTCTGTAGCATCCTAAATGGTAGCCTGGGAGACTAGAGGTCCTTGAAGAACTGCCACCCACCCAACTTTAATTAAGTTGGAGATAGAGCCAGGGGTTCCTATTTTTAACTGGCAATCAACTATGCCTCTTGGGCATGAATGCCCAGTCTTGGTGGTAAAGAATTTTCCACAAGGCTCATAGGGTGGGAGAAAATCAGCTATTTATATTCATGCTTTGAGCTTGAATAGGAGAAAAGAAAGGAAACACCGAGAAATTAAGAAAAGAGGATATGAAGAAGAGAAGTAATGTATGTCTTCATGGAGCAGAAACAAAGCGATACAAGGAGACTTCAGAAAGGTCAGAGAAGAATGGAATCAGAGCATGAGTTTATTTTGGTGTAAAAATTTCTGAGGCATAATTATTAACTTTTATGTAAAAAAATCCAGGCATAATTATGAACTTTTTGAACACTCTCTCATATAAGGGATTATTAAGGCATATTTTTGTGGGAGATTTTTCTATTCGTGTAAGGTCTTTGCCATAGGGCATGTGCACTCACTAGAGAGTCAGAGAGACAGTGAGAAGAAGAGTGAGAAATCACTCCCCCTCCCCCAGCGGACGGCCATGCTACGTTCCCTTCTTTTCCATTCTACTCCTGGGATTTGGTGCATGCACATACACGTGCCAGGCATGAATTTCAAGTCACTGGGTCCAGGACTGCAGTTCAAGGACCATGTGGGAGGGAACCAGCAGTTAGTGTAATGGCTATGTCGCTGGACTCCCACGTAGTCGACCACGGTTTGTGTCCCGGACCCGGTGGCTTAAAACTCACGCCGGGCACGTGTGCGTGCGTGCCCAAGATCCCAAGAGGAGAATGGAGGAGAAGGGATTGCGGCGTGACCATCCCCCCTGGGGGGTGATTTCTCGCTTTCTGTCTCTATGTCTCTCTCTCTCTGTCTGTCTGGCGAGCGCACGCGCCCTACAATGAAAATCTCTCAAGAAAAATAAAAAAAAAATAAAAAAAAAGGACCATGTGGGAGTCTAGCACCTTAATCACCATGCCACCTACTGGCCCGTGGAGGTTTTCTTTTAAGTCCATTCCCTACCCACTTGTATGATCTTGTACAAGTTCTCTCTCCTCATAGGCAACATTATAGAGTTATTAGAGGAATATTTGGAGATAATGCATATAAAATGCCCAGCAGAGTTCCTGATGCCTGACTGCCCTGTAAACGATTGCTGTTATTTTACTAGTTAGTCCTTATGAGATCAAAATCATTCTGAGCCTTTGCCTCTTTTGAGGTTACATACATTCCAGTCCATATATCACCGATCCTTGAATCTAATCACGTTTCGTTTTTCTCACCTGTTTAATCAGGTCGTCATGTCTTTCTTAGTCACAGCCAACAGACACTCTCTCTCAAGAATTATATTAGAAACCTATGTGGGTTATAAAGTTACTGATAGGTGACTAAGTGGAGTTTGAAGTGGTTTGGGGAGTGCTTCCCCTGTGCTCTCTTGTACTGGCATGTGCGCAAGAGCTTGTAAGTTGTGACATTGGATAGATGAGAACAACACAGATCAGTAGACTCAATTTCTCCTAGACTCTGGGGGGCACCACTGTCTGTGTGTATGTATCATGTTGGATGTCCAGGTTTAAGTTAGGGTTGAGACCCCAAAATAGAATCCTCCTTCATTTTAACACACATATGTACACAAACACATATATGCATATACACACATATACACATGCATACATGCATACGCACATACATATATGTGTTTTTAAAAATTTATTAATGGATATATACCTAGAGTTGAGGACTATGGACTTACAGCAAATGTCAAATGATATCTTGCTCTTCAGTATCTGTCTAAGGTATGGATAATAAGGTATGCATTTTTCAATGTCATGGGAAAACATTAAAGCAACACAAAACATACATAAGAACAATGAAGTGAACCCACTAAATTGTCATATAAATGTCTTTACAATGTTCAATGAAATTTCTGAAATTCCAGGGTCTGACCTATTGAAATCTGATTTTTATCTTACACTGTCCAGATTCTAATGCAAGGCAAAAATCCGGGGATAGCTTGGAAGTACGCACTTCCCAAGGCCATGAATGGAACTCAGCCGCCCACAAAGAGACAACCCTACGCCTGGAGTACAGTGCAGTCAGAGTGCTCCGTCTCCTGCGGTGGAGGTAGTTGATTTCCTGATTCTCTGATCCAAGGCCGTCTCTTCTTAAAACAGGTTTTTTCACTCCAGGTCTCTTTAACATCACATGGTTTAAATAAGCCATCATAGAACTGTCACCGAAGGGAAGCAGCACTGTAAAAAGCAGATATTACTGTGCTACGTGCAGACGTTCTTAGGGAGAAAGGAACCAGTTTTCACAAAACTCAAATCAACTGCAGCCAGGGTTTAAAAGCTTCATATCTGTAATTTAAGAGAAAATATATGAACACTTATTTATAAATATAAGCAAACACACGTTTATGCTGAATTTTCAGCTTATAGTTTAATTTCTTCAATCTTGACTTCTCTGTTATAAACCTCCCATTGGGACTTTTAGAAACTAGAGTCAAGACGAGTGAGAACACACACGAGGCAAACTTAGCACGATGACATCTGAAACATGAATATCCTTGGGGTAGGTCAGCAAAGTCTCTCTCTGTAGTGTCTCTATGTCTCTCTCTCTCTGTCTGTCTGGCGAGCGCACGCGCCCTACAATGAAAATCTCTCAAGAAAAATAAAAAAAAAATAAAAAAAAAGGACCATGTGGGAGTCTAGCACCTTAATCACCATGCCACCTACTGGCCCGTGGAGGTTTTCTTTTAAGTCCATTCCCTACCCACTTGTATGATCTTGTACAAGTTCTCTCTCCTCATAGGCAACATTATAGAGTTATTAGAGGAATATTTGGAGATAATGCATATAAAATGCCCAGCAGAGTTCCTGATGCCTGACTGCCCTGTAAACGATTGCTGTTATTTTACTAGTTAGTCCTTATGAGATCAAAATCATTCTGAGCCTTTGCCTCTTTTGAGGTTACATACATTCCAGTCCATATATCACCGATCCTTGAATCTAATCACGTTTCGTTTTTCTCACCTGTTTAATCAGGTCGTCATGTCTTTCTTAGTCACAGCCAACAGACACTCTCTCTCAAGAATTATATTAGAAACCTATGTGGGTTATAAAGTTACTGATAGGTGACTAAGTGGAGTTTGAAGTGGTTTGGGGAGTGCTTCCCCTGTGCTCTCTTGTACTGGCATGTGCGCAAGAGCTTGTAAGTTGTGACATTGGATAGATGAGAACAACACAGATCAGTAGACTCAATTTCTCCTAGACTCTGGGGGGCACCACTGTCTGTGTGTATGTATCATGTTGGATGTCCAGGTTTAAGTTAGGGTTGAGACCCCAAAATAGAATCCTCCTTCATTTTAACACACATATGTACACAAACACATATATGCATATACACACATATACACATGCATACATGCATACGCACATACATATATGTGTTTTTAAAAATTTATTAATGGATATATACCTAGAGTTGAGGACTATGGACTTACAGCAAATGTCAAATGATATCTTGCTCTTCAGTATCTGTCTAAGGTATGGATAATAAGGTATGCATTTTTCAATGTCATGGGAAAACATTAAAGCAACACAAAACATACATAAGAACAATGAAGTGAACCCACTAAATTGTCATATAAATGTCTTTACAATGTTCAATGAAATTTCTGAAATTCCAGGGTCTGACCTATTGAAATCTGATTTTTATCTTACACTGTCCAGATTCTAATGCAAGGCAAAAATCCGGGGATAGCTTGGAAGTACGCACTTCCCAAGGCCATGAATGGAACTCAGCCGCCCACAAAGAGACAACCCTACGCCTGGAGTACAGTGCAGTCAGAGTGCTCCGTCTCCTGCGGTGGAGGTAGTTGATTTCCTGATTCTCTGATCCAAGGCCGTCTCTTCTTAAAACAGGTTTTTTCACTCCAGGTCTCTTTAACATCACATGGTTTAAATAAGCCATCATAGAACTGTCACCGAAGGGAAGCAGCACTGTAAAAAGCAGATATTACTGTGCTACGTGCAGACGTTCTTAGGGAGAAAGGAACCAGTTTTCACAAAACTCAAATCAACTGCAGCCAGGGTTTAAAAGCTTCATATCTGTAATTTAAGAGAAAATATATGAACACTTATTTATAAATATAAGCAAACACACGTTTATGCTGAATTTTCAGCTTATAGTTTAATTTCTTCAATCTTGACTTCTCTGTTATAAACCTCCCATTGGGACTTTTAGAAACTAGAGTCAAGACGAGTGAGAACACACACGAGGCAAACTTAGCACGATGACATCTGAAACATGAATATCCTTGGGGTAGGTCAGCAAAGTCTCTCTCTGTAG